CAGAAATATTTTATTCAGTAAGACAGGACTCGAAGATGAAAGGGTAACTACTTCTGATCATAACCGTGGCTTTGTCTTTTCAGCAATTATACTTTAATTGCATTGCCCTATTTGAAATAGAATTGTAATTGGGAAAAAGAAAATGACATTCCCTGATGCGTACTCTTGACACGCATTATTTGTTTTTTATTCAAACATAAATGTTCTCTGTAACGCTATAAAAAAAAAGAAAAAATATAGCAAAATTGAAACGTCAGTAGCAATTTCGGACATGTGAAAAGCACCATCAACTTGTGCTGGTTGGTGGGCAAGGGGTTTCAATTCAACTCGACAGAAATCCAGTTGTGAAATGAGCAGAGTTGGAGAAGAGAAATGATGTGAGAGGGAAAGGACCTCAGCCCCAGCCCTTCAGGAGAGCTGGCTGTTGCACATGGCAGTATCAAAATATCATAGCCGCAACCAGCTGTGATTGTGTGATAAATGGGCCTTTCAGATCACGTGGAAACAGAAGATGCAGAAAGATAATTCAAACCTTACTGCTCACCACTGAATAATTACTAGAGTCAATATAAGTCAGTGAAACACAGGTTCCTTTCAGTTGTACTCTATAGAATGCAGCTATAGAGAAGTGTCTTTGCATCTTCTTCCTTAACTCTCAGGAGGATCCAAGAGAATCTACTCTGGTGGCAGCTTATACCTTGTAATTTGCATTTGGCATTTCTGAGAGCCGAGCTCCAGCCAGTCTGGTGGTCACACTGCGTGCAAGGAGAGCTGGGGCTCAGTGCATCACTCCATGCTGGGGGAGGTACCTGGCAGCACCCAGCATGCTGCAGTTCACACACACATGGAGTAGGAGAAGCTGCTGATGTCCTCTGCAGCGATTCTTATGATGGATTTCCTTTGTCAGCAGCTCTGCATTCTCATTTGCTCCAAAACAGATCCAGCCCAGTGTTAGTTCAGAGAGTCAGCAGTTCACAGGCAAGAAATTAACACAGGGGAGCCATAAACCAGAGGTGGCTGGCATAGATGAGGCTGGATAAATTGTGCCTCTTGTTTCTTTTTTTTTTTATAATAAAAGCAAAACCAGAACCAAAGCAGAACAGTCAGAACAAAACCTCCTTTTCAGAAAAATGGATTTTTAGAGTTGCCTGCAGACATAACCTACTTTTGTTAGTGTTAGTTAATTCCTCTGTGCTTTGTACCCAGCTAGTTTGTTATGACCAGAGAGATATACAGGCATGCAGGCTGATGGAACAGCGTAGTGAGAGCTGGGGGTCCCTTGGTGGATGTCTGAGCACCCTGTACAATTTAAGAGCCTGACTTGAGGTGTAGATCACCACATAAGTGCATTTAATAACTTTCTCTTCTGCAGAGACAGCTCTCTGAAACTCCCAGGAGGTGGCACAAAGGTAATAACTAAAAACTAAACAGAAATATAATCACTGATTAATAAGGTAACCGTTACAAAGAGCTGGGTGTCAGGAGGAGAGTTAAAGCAGCATTGAAGACAGCTGATAGGATGCAGCCCAGGTGATGGGAAACTCCCAGGGGAGCCACCTGCCAGAGCAATTGGATGCCATAAAAGAGAAGGAAAGGGGCAACTTGGAGCTTACTTGTGCTGAGGTTATTTTGCAGGGAGAAAATTCATTCTCTTGAATACATCTGGACTCTCAGGCCCTCAGTAATAATGTTCTAGAGCAAAAAGCACTTAATTTAGGAAATCTGTTATATTACTGAAAATCTGTAGAACTTGATTTTCTATCTTTAAGCAAAGTAGTTGCGTTACTCAAGCTGTGTAGAACCTTTACATACACACCAAATTATGGTGCTTATTTCTTCTCTATGTGAGCTGCACTCCGGAGGAGATATTTTGATCCTCTGTAGAGAATAGTAAATTGTAAAAGAAACCGTAGAGCTGTGCTCTTCTCCACTTAACAGCCTAATAGCAAGCTACATATCTAGTGTAGGGGGAGAAGCTTTTATAAAGACTAAAGAGAAAACATGTTTAAAGTAAGTGCTAATGTAACGCTAGTTGAGTCTGCTGTATTTTAGCCTCACGGTCGTGGTGGTGCATGGCATGCCTTGGACCTAATCTTTGAATCTGTCCAGCAAAGGAATCTTTGCCCCAGCCTCAGCAGCTGCGTCTCTCCAGTGCGCCAGGAGCTGACGGTCAGGTTTGCAGTGAGCTGATGCCCTCTGCTGGATACGAGGAGTTTCTGGATGAAAAGCTGCTCTTCCAGGGCAGGACCCCTACCAGGAGCCAACTGGGCAGCTCGCAACAGAGGTGAGTGTTCCACAAAATCTGCTCAATGACAAAGCAAGGTCAGAGAGCACTTTTCTGTTCTGTTCTTTGTTTGCATCATTCGTTTTCCCTTCACAGCCTCTCCCAAAGATCTATCTCTTAGTGGCATGGGTACTGAAAATGTTATTATAGCCACAACATTTGTTGCCACATTTGTTGTGGCTATACATTTGTTGGCCACAACAACCCCAGGCAACACTACAAGCTTGGGGCAGTGGCTGGAAAATGCAAGGACTTGAGGGTGTTGGTTGACACTGCGCTGATCATGAGCCAGCAGTGTTCCCAGGTGGCCAAGAAGGCTGATGGCAACCTAGCTTGTATCAGAAATAATGCAGGCAGCAGGAGCAGGGAAGTGATCATCGCTCTGTACTCAGCTCTGGTGAGGCCATACCTTGAGTACTGTGTTCAGTGTTGGACCTCTCACTACAAGAAAGACATTGAGACCCTGGAGCATTCAGAGAAGGGCAATGGAGGGGTCTGAGCACAAATGTTATGAGGAGAGGCCAAGGGAATTGTTCAGTCTGGAGGAAGCTCAACAGAGACTTTATGGCTCTGTACAACTCTCTGAAAGGAGGTTGTGGTGAGGTGGGGGTCAGCCTCTTCTCCCAGATATCAGCAATCAGATGAGAGGGAATGGCCTCAAGTTGTGCCAGGGGAGGTTCAGGTTGAATATTAGGAAAAACTTCTTCTCTGAGAGAGTGGTGAGGCACTGGCACAGACTGCCAAGGCAGGAGGTGGAGTCACCGTCCCTCAAGGTGTTGAAGATCCACAGAGATGTGGCACTGAGGAGGGACATGACTAGTGGGTATGTGGAGGATGGTTTGATAGTTGGATTTGGTGATTTTAGTGGTCTTTTCCAGCCTTAATGTTTCTAGGATTCTATGAAACCAAAACAGTATTTAACACTGTACTTGAGGATCACAAATCTGGATCCCCGTGTAATGAAATTAGCCCATGTGAGATGTATTGTTCATAAAACACATCTTGCTGCAACCAGCTTCTGTTTTTTGAATAGGTAAAGTTTGTCTAGGCATTAAAACTTCTGCCTTTTGATATTTGCAATAAATTAACACAGTAACTAGGGCATGTGTTGGCCTTTCTCTTAAATGCATGCAGGTTTGAGAGGTTACACCTGGTTTATGAACTGTGCCTTTTATGTAAAGTTATTTCTTTTGGCTATATTCAATAGAACATACTGTTTAATAGGCTTAGTTGTAGAGTAGTTGAAAGATGGGAAACTACATTTAGTTACTGGGAACTGTTATTTTTAGAGCACAATAAAATAAGTTGTGATTATACTGATGGGATTAATTTTTGAGGTGTTTTGACTTTTTCCTGCATGGTTCTACAGAAAAATTCATAGTTGTTAACATTATAAATCTAGCAGGATGGTAAAATTTGACTTGGAACAGCGTGTTCTTTAACAGATGAAGAGAGCAGGAGAACACGGTAGTGTATAAAAACAGATGATTCAACTTAATGATGCTCTACATGCAAGGCTTGCTAAGGAAATACTCCTACATAGAGGGTCATAAGTGAGTAAGGCAACTGAACAACCAACATCAAAAAAACTTGTTGGACAGGAAAAATACAATGCCCTCATTTAGCTTCTGCACAAATAACAGTACTCAGTACTTATCACAGGTTCTTGGTTAAAAAGCAGCCCTGCATATTCTGTTATAAAACCGTCTGAATGATTTATCTGGGGAAAAGTCACCGTTATTAGTGTAAAATAAGATCCTGAATATGCTAACCTACCAGAGACATCATAGAGATGCAGAAATACCATTCTAATAATGAGAGGCTCTGGACAGTTTAAGCTCCTGGTGGACTTGAGTTCCATTGAAGAGAAATGCTTTAACAGTCACAGAATTTGAAGGCTGAACTGTGAACATGATAGTAAGTTACACTCAACAGACAGAAGCTTGTTTTTAAGAATGTATATTGCTGACTGCCTGATTTAATAAACAAAAAACCAAACCAACAAACTCTAATTAAAACAAACAAACAAAACCAAAACCAAAAGGCCAAACGTACAAGATTGAGCCAGCTTTCTCCCTGGCTTCCTTTCACACAGGTATGTGTTTGTGTGTTCATCTAATACAAAATGTTGCTTAAGAGCTTTCCAAATATGGATCAAGCACACAAAATACATAACTGCTGTGTTAGGGTGTGTTCAGTAGTCAAGAAAGTTAAATGCCAGTTGCATGAAAGGGAAGCCACAGGTATTATTCATTGGTGGTGTTGCTACCTGGAGGAAGAGTATAAAGAAATCTCTATGATGCTTTTTGTGACAGATGTGGCTGGAAGTCCAAGTCAATGAGGCATGCACGCTTTTGGAAGAACAGCCAATGTTCTGGTTGAACAAAAGAAAGACCGTTTATTTTCTAAGTGGATCTAACAGCAACAGCATCGACTAAATCCATGCTTATGCCTGGCTAGGACCAGCAGATGTCAGTACAACACAAAGCATAACTGGATTTTAAAAGTGGCAAGCTTCAAGAAATTTACAAATAAATACTCTGAACAAATAGCAAGATCATACAAAGTTATCACATGAAAGTTTCAGAAAGCCATAGTCAACATTACTCTTGAATAAATGTGATTTGACAAAATACAGATCTTCCAAGTCTGTCACAGAAGCAGAAAATGTATTTTTAACACAGCACAAAAGTAACACATTAGATATTAACTAATATTTCAATTACAAGTTTTTATTTCCATAAATCTTGCAATTCAGCAAAATTTAAACTTGCTGAGGAGAAATATTTTATCAACCCAAAATTTCAGTTCAACTGTTTTTTGTAGCAGTCTGGATATTCTTAGTTTGGGAACAGACAGTTGAATTCATTTCAGCTGCATGTAAACCTTTACCTTAAAAACAAGCAAAAAGAAAGAAAGGGGAGAGGGCTGTGAAGTACCAGTCCAATTACAGACCAATAAGAAATACAGCAAAATTATTTCAATTGTAACAAGAAAGCAACCAAGTGCTACCACAGTGAAATACTTTTATATATTTTTCAGCATTTTGATAGTTTAGTAACACCCTTAACAGTGAGACTTTTGAATTCTTAAGGATAACTGGATCCAAAATCCCAGTAACTCAGTTGGGATCCGTACTCCTAAATCCCTTTGAATAAAGCTAAAAGAATTGAATTTATCAGAGGTAGCTGTGATAATGTATAGAAGATGTAGCATTCACTGTTAGTACTGGAGAAATCTTTATTAATACTGGGTGTAGCCTCATTAATAACAATACAAAAGCGTTTCACATACAATAGTTCAAAACCATGCAACTGAAAAATGAGGGACACAGGCAGATGGCACACTCAAAGCACTGTGACACAATGGTGAGTGGATAATGGTATGCCACGTGGAAGTTCAGCACCTCCCTTCATTACAGTGCAGCGCTGATCAATGCAAACTGAAGTGACTAACAGGACAGTACAACGTAGAATGAGGTGTGACAACAAGTAGTACGATTAAGAATATTTCCTTAATCATACTGAGATGGAATGTGGAAGCACGCTTATCACCATTAATTACAATGGTTTTCATTAAACAACTAAATGATAAATGTTATTTCAGAGTGGAACGTACATCCAGGTTAAAAAAAAAAAGCATATGCACTAACCAACGTGCTTATTACGAATGATTTCTCCTCCTTCTATCTCAATTTGCTCATACAGCCATTTGCGGTCGCAGCGACATTCGGTGCCACACTTGTTGGAGCCACACTTGGGGCAAGCATAGAAACATCCCAGGCAGTCTTCATCAAGGCAGTCACAGAGGTCCATCCCACTGTAAAGAAGTAGTCCCTGGCTATCGTAGACTTTACTCTTGGCTGGTATAACTTGCCTGTATGATGGAAAACAAGTTATTTCCTTATTTTAATACCAAGCAGCTAATTGCCGTGGACAGAACTTTGCTGTTTTTGAAGATGTTCATTTTACCACTGCATTGAAGTGTATACATGTTATTGTACTCAACATTTGCCAGCTTCACATTGTATTGTCATTATAGTGCTTTTGAACTAATTCCAGGACCAGGAAGTTTTTATTTCATCAATAGGTTAAACATTTATTCAACCACTTTGGAATATTTATGATGTTAACTTTGTTACCTTTCAGGTGATGTGAAAGTCTTCTTTTGTAGCTTGTAGCTATAATTCAAAGTTATATAGAATAGTTCATCGTGTGCATGTTCTAATTTATAAGTTATTTTTATGCTTTAATCACTACTCGTATCCCAGTCAGTTCTATTAAACTGTAGAATCACAAAACCACTCTGTTCAGAAACAGCCTCTGGAATTTGTCTTGTCTGACCCTCTGTTCAAAACCAGGTCAACTCAGATAAATTTGCTTAGAGCCACACCTAGCTGAGCTCCCAGCAGCTCTGAGGTCAGACACTCCAGACATTTTTTGATGCAGTGCTTGACCACACGCTTAATTCAAAACATTTTCCTAGTTGCAGCTTATGAATGAACAAACTAGAAGCAACTATGCAGGGAGATGCTACAGGTATGTGGTAAGTAGCACCAAGTGCATTTTTTTTCCTGTAAGGTTAAATTCAGGGAGACCAAATTGGTCCAAACTTTTAGTAGAAAATGATAGACAAAACTCAGCTGCATAAGCCTTCCACTCTACAGGAAAACTGATTTTAAAATAGGTCTACTTAGGAAGCTGAAATTTGTTATCCAGTGTCATCCAACCTGAACGCTAATCCTTCTAGAGTATGTAAGCATTTAACATGAACACGTTTGTTTCTGAAGTGTAGTTACTGAGTAAATTGAAATATGACAACTCCAACATTTTAAGTGTACTCTACTTGATCTTACTCTACTCAAGTTTGACCTATGATCAAATTTTGATGCATAAACTAACAGCTTCATTTATAATCTATGTAGTATTGTCACACCTTACCAGAAGCTCGGTATTTTCATTGTGTGAAGTGTGAGGTGTTACAGAGACACTTAAAGCAAGGTCACTGTAGTGACCTTAAAGTCACTACAGGAAGGTGCTCACCTGTCAGAGTTAAATGACGGATTTTTTGTTTGCAGTCTTCTTTTTTCCCTCTTACTGGTCTCAGGAGTGAATTCAGTCTGTCGTCCTGGGTTAGCAAACTGCAGAGACTTCAAAGCCTTAGCTGTACGCCCCTGAACAGAGACAGAAAATCTCACTTCATTATGAATAAGTACCCAAATTCTTAAGGAAATGCCCAGTCAAGCCAGGATATTGTAACGACTGAGGTATGCTGACCCCAACTCTGAGCACTGTATTTCTCAGGAGAAGACTTAAGTCTTCTTAAGTGTTACATTACAGAACTCTGCCAGTCCCAAAAGTCAGTAATATCTCCCGTTATGCAGCTGTAAGATACAGTTGGGTGGCTGTGCCTGGGCTGAGGGGTGACTGCTCCTTGAATGCCATGCTGTTTTGCTCTAGAGCATATGTGGATGAGCTCTTGTTGACTTGGTTTTCCACTTGGTTCTACTGATTACCTGCACGCTTCAAACAAAGCACCCAGAAATGTATAAACTGTGTTATGAACTCAGCACTTAAAGCATCATCCTCTCACATCAAACTGCCCCTGAACAAACAGGGGCAGCTCAGGCACCACATCAGCGTGCACTTAATTCACTTCCATGCAGGTTCACTTGGTAATGAACTGCTAGATGCAGTAGATTCTCTTAAAACTGAGGAGACTAACCCAGAAGTTTCTCTCAATGCTCTTAGAAACAACCATTGCAGTGTTTAAACGGGAGCTTGCTTTTCACAAGGCTTGAGAAACAGCTTAAGACAACAGCAGCCGGCTGGTATTTACATAACCTGAGGTGTACATCACCCTAGCACTCAATTAATTAGCAAGGCCCTAATATTTAATTAGGGAAGAGGATTTTTAAAGTAAAAAAAGTGGAATGAGCGTATGCACTCATTTCATTGAACGCTCCTCCAAATAAAGGTTCAGATACAGCAAACTCCCATGCAGCAAGAGTCTGCACCTTTTTGTATTTCTACTGAACAACTTGGTTCGTTTATATAGGACTTGTATGAAGCCCAGGTCCAACAGTCTGCAGAACTTAGAGGGGGTGGGACAACTGATCCATATACATACGTCCGAATCAAGCTTTCTTCTTTGGCGTTCTTCAGCTTCGACATCCACACTCCCATTTATTACCTGCATACATTTGGGACAAAGCTTCCAACCAGGTACAAACTGTCTTCCAAACTTGGCAGTTAGAAAAGTTGCATCATGCAGGTCAATTGCACGCAAGTTTTTCTTTGATACTTTTCTGTGCATATTAAAAGGGTCGCAACACGACTTTTGTAAGTCTTCAAATCTTTCAATGTAAATTTTTGCATGATGAAAGCAGATGGTGTCGTTCTCTGAAAGGGTCATTCCAGTCCTAAGCTGAAGCAACAGTAGATCGAATGAAGATATATCTTCCTTAGTCTTGAAGCCAGTGTGACGGGTATAATAGGTCTTATGGCATTCATTGGTAGCTTGAAGCTGAACTCCAACTGAACAAGGATCCATTTTTATCAGAACAACTTATTTCACTTATTTTGCCTAAAATGAGTTCTTTGAAGTCTTTAGTAGTTCCTATGAAGATCACCCTAGAGAAAGCATTAAAATCAATCAGATTTGTGCTGCAAACTTTTACCTGTAAGCTTGACAAACTAGGCTCAAGTAGGTTAAGATACATTTCTTAAATTATACTCTAGCTTTCTAGTCTAGATGCACTCATTCTCTTTTCAGAGGCATTTTTTTTACCAGCCATTCTAAGTATCCATTCAGCAGCACTGCCTTATCAAAGGCAATCTGGAGGTGAGGTGTGAGGTAGATGATTTGTTCAACAGCAGCCTGCTGTGCTCTCCAGCCTCCAACTGGCACGCTCCCAGCTGCTCTAGGAGAGGGCCCACAGGACCTGTCTGATGGCTGAACAACTCAGCCATCTGGTTTCCATGTAGTTTCAGGGGAAAAAAAGGTAGGTTGCTGAAGGTAGGCTGCACAGGCTGATGCCAGCTGGTGATCTACATCCAGCAGCTATCAGCTCTTTCCTTTGTACTCCTAGGGAGCAAAGAAAAGCCTGGACAGGTGTGAGTCAGCACCCTGACTGAATGTGAGTGTCTCCAGGAAATGGCCACCTGCAGTACATGTAAGGATGTGTGCACTTGTGGATGGATGGCCTCTGCATGCAGCTCTTTCTATCTGACTGCTACGCCCCCATCATATAAACACGGGGCACTCATTTAAACTTACTTAAACACAAAATTAAAAATATTATCCTAGCTATTGCAGAGTGGTCCTGCCCATGCCAAAATTTGTTACAAATCCAGCGTTGGCCCTAAAACATCAAAGCTTGAGCCAATGTTGTGCTATTTTCTACTACGACACAATGGGGAAAATATATCCTCCAAAGGAAAAGAATTCATTTTCTGACACAGAGAAATCAAAAAGCATCATTACTTGTTCTAGCCACTGAACAGGATAGCACATTTTTTAATGAATGAAAGCATCAGTCAGTTGTAGAATGGGAGAAGATAGTCTAGGATACTACTTCTAATAAAATAAAGGTGAGTAGCAGCACAAACAACCCAATGACATGAAAATGAAATGTGTTAATTTAACCAGACTACAGAGGTATGATCACAGTGGCAAAAGTTCCTCACAGAACAATTAGAGGCCTTTTACAGCACTCTGAAAAGCCACTGTTGGGAGTATATTTTTGCAGCAGAAATCCCCTTGATTGTAATGCCTTAGTTTTTCTAACCAGATGCATGCACTTGAAGAAGCTGCATGACACATTTCCATGTATTAAACTGTATGCACAGCAATTTAAAGGTGTTGCGTAGGACGTGTGGTTGTTGAGTGATTCACCCATTCCAAATATAAGAGAGAATGCTTGGCTGTAGAGAGATAAACTAGTTTTTAAATGCAATTTTACAATTTGTTTGAGATGGAGCAGGGTGTAAGAGCATTAATTCTTCAGGCAATAAGAGCCCTGAATGCGCAGGCACAGTTTTAGAAAGACTTGAGTTTAAAAGGAAAAAGGGAGGGAAGAGAGGAAGGTGAATCTCCTTCTGAAAATAAAGCAAAATTAGTTCCTTTCTTTAGCAAGTTACCCGTGCAGAAAAGCTTAAGGTAGTGAGTTAATAAGACATTCTGTATTGATTTCTCAGGTTGTTTTAGTGTCTTAGTAAACCAGCTATACTCAGAACTAGTCACTTTTTTAGTCACTAAGTGCACGCTTGTCTTTTGCACTACGGTACATGGAATGCTGTATGAGTAAAGCTCATTGCAGCTGAGCATGTTTTTAACAGCAGTATGTCAACACCCAATAATATGATTCAGTAAGTCTGTTGCAGGCCATGCACCAAACCTGCTGCAAACGTCACAACGCGTGCTTGCAACTGACTCCTGCTCTGGTAGATGGGTGCAGATGAGGAAGCACGCTAGATAAACAGAAAAGTAGTTCTGAACTGTCAGCATTTGCAGACGCATCACAAGTCTGACTTCTTGGTAGATGTTTAATTAAGAATTGATAACTTCTTTTCTATAAAGGAGAAGATAAGTGTTACATTGCTATCCTCGGCTGACAGCTGCTCTGCCAGCTGACCGTGCTCCTGAAGCACTGCTGGGCTAACGTAATGGAGTGTGCATCGAGCACCAGCTGTGTGACTTAACGTGTCTCACTCACTCAGTCCTTTTGTAAAACCTCTTGGCAGAAGCTTCAGCTGTACTTCTTCCTTCCCTCCACCTTGGGAGGAATACACAGCTCTTTGCCTTTAATTCTTTGGTTGAAACAGGAGAGGGCTCCAGCAGCCTGGTGCTTTAATAGAGGCGGGTGCTGACACCTGTGAAATCAGCAACGAGCGTTTACAGACAACAAACTAAAGCAGGACACAGTGATGAGAACCAGGACAGCGAAGCGCACGTGCAAAGTAAAGAACGCGTGAAGCAGAGCGAGGGCTGCGTCAATTCTCGGAGGTAGGAGCAGAGAAAGAAGGTAGGAAACCGGTCTAGAGCGACAGCTGCGGGCCGTGAGAGGCCGAAGGGAAAGAGAAGTCCTGATGCGGAAGCGCAGCCCTCGGCCCCAGGCGGCGTTGTGCCAGGCTCAGGCTTCCCTCAGAACGGCTCCGCGGCCAGGCCAACCCAGAACGGAGCTTTCCCGGCGCGGCTGCCGCTTCTCCAGCAGCAGGGGCCGTCCCCTCCCCGGTACCTTGCCGTGGACTTTCCTCCGCCTCTGCGCCGGGACTCCCGCACCCGGCTTCCGCGCGGCCCCAGCTACATCAGCGCTGCCGATGGCGGACATCGACCGTGTCTCTCCCCGGCTACCGTAGAGCGGGGGAACCACCGTAACGCAAGGAGCTGCACTTCCGGTTGGGCGTGCAAGGGGCGGGCGGAAGCGGCAGGCAGTCACGTGGCAAGGCGCGATCACGTGCTGCTCTGCGAGAGGGGGTGGTTGTTGGGGTGGTCGCGCGCCTTTCTCGTGCTTTTCGCGCGCGCTGCTGTGCTGAGCGCGAGGCGCGACCGCAGGGCTTTTCCAGTCAGCGCTGTGGCGGGCTGTGTGGCTGTGTGGTACCGGGCTCTGAGCCCCCCTACCTATTGCTGCTGTGCGCTGTAGTTACCCTACAGTGAGACAGAAGTATTTGCAAGATCATCCCTTGCACAGTTCTACTCCAGCATTGCCCATAGCACAGCCCAGCAGCACGAACTACAAGCGAATAATGCCAGTTAATCGCTCTAGAAGCTTTTTGTCTCCTTCCCTGGTTATTTATGACTAAGTAATTACAGACTGGCTCTCTAGGAGGCTTGGGGTGGATGGTAAGTACAAGCAAGATGGGTTAACAGTTACAGCAAATGCAGGAGGGCAGAGTGGAGAGCTAAAGACGTCCTAACAAGCCCACAAGCAGGTGTCAGTAACAGAACAGCCAGCAGTGTGCACTGCTCGCCTCAGCACGGCTGTTAGAGAAACAGCTGAGCAGAAACACACAGGTGATTTGGGGCTGAGCTCGGGCACCAACAGGAGCCAGTCTTCCTTCATTATAAATGTTTGGGAGTAGACCTAGGTGGTCAAATCGTGATTCGAGGAGCTTTTGTTTCTCCCTCCGTCAGAAGCAGCGTTGGAATGTTGGATTTGGTACTGGCCAAGCCTTAAAAGGACACTAAACCTGCCTTAAGGGGCAGAGGGCTTGAAATACATCGCCAATTTAAAACGAGGTAGTTAGCAATACACAGTTTTCTGCTGGCTGTATCCTTTTAAAACACAAGACTGTTATTTGGGTGGACTTTTCGCCTGACTTCTTGCCACAGCATTGGGGATGGGTAGAAGAATAGTTGTAAATAAGGAAAGGGCTGTGGAGGTGTCTCAACCACCAAGCAGGTTTCACGCTTGCATCAGGAGGTGTCCAGGCAGCACTCCAGGGAGTGCTCTGGAATACAAAGCTTTAATCCTAGCGTGACACTAGCAGGATGTAGGCTGTGTATCTGACTGTTAACAGAAGGCTGTTGTAAATTCTTGAGTCATACATTGCCTTAATGATGACAGAGGGATTGTCAAGTGCGATCATTCAGAGCGGGTGATAAGGCTCCCTCTGCTGACTTGTGCTGCTTAGGAGATGCGTGGAGTTAACGAAGGGGAATAATTAATGAGAGGAGGTATTTGAGGTACAGGTTGTGACATCAATTTGTATTAGATAAACATAGGAAGAGCAGTGAGGCGTGTGCATTCCCCTTTCCAGTATTGGTGTCGACCTGTGAGGCTGAGTGTGTAGGGTTAGAGTCAGAGTTCAGTTGCTGTTATTACAGCAAGTTTGCCATCCATGCATTCAGACTGGCTTTGACTGGCCATGTTATCTTTCATCTGCCTAACTGAATGGTACCCTGCACAGAAAGTCAGTCTTTTTCTTTTTTTTTCTCTTTTTTTTTTTCTTTTTTTTTTTTTTTTCCCTCCAGGAGCACTGTTTGGAATTTTAGGTTTTGGTTAACTTCATTTGTCATGTGAACAGCATCGTTTTAAAAGCTTGCACCTGTAACTGTATCTGTAACTGTATCGTAACTGTATCTGTAACTACATAGTTACAAGAATCCATGTATCCACGTAGGTTGGCCTAGAAACCAGCAGAATGCTGATAAAGGGCAGAGATTTGAATTCACTTCTTTTCCAGAGTTTAATCTAAATTAATCCATTTTTATTTGTATTTTTGCTATTTAAGTGGAACTGATTCAAATACTCCACTTCTGTAGAATCTTTTTTATCACATGAAGCGTCTCTCTTTAATGTGAATGTTACATGAAAATAAAGTTTGCATATGGTTATATTTGGCCTATTTGATAAGGAGAAAGTCCTAATTCAGGTTACACAGTTTTGTCGCCACCACAACTGGTGTTTGTTCTCTTCAGAGTCTTCGGATATGTTCAGTCAGAGTTAATGTGAGTGATCATAGCAAGGAAAGCACTTTGGTGTAAATAGAAAAGAAAGCTTGTCTATGAAGGAGTGCATGAGCAAATTGGGCGTGAAGGGATGAAGCCCTGTGTGAGGTGCAGCTCTGAGCCTTTAAAGCTGCGTTAGCACTAGGGAGGATCACAACAAAGAGTGTGGATGTGAGAGCTAGGGAAGGAAAGGCAAGACTTACAGCAAGTTCCTATGCTCGGTACTAAAAAAAAAAAAGAAAGATTTTATGGAAGAAAGCAAGTGACGAATTTTGAGTAAATCCAAGGATGTGGTTGGAGTATGATGTGATGTTTGTTAGACACAGTCCTGCTGTGATCATTATGGAGCTGCTCATTATGCTTTGTAAACTTCCTGATACTGTGGGGATGCCCAGCTGAGGGAACATGGGGACCTCATTCTTTCTGGGAGTAAATAATATCCTGTTTGAATGCTGGTTGTGAAACAAGAGCAAAGTTAGGCATGAAAGAAAAGGACCTGAGAGGTTGTATTTTGTTGCCATTGAATGTATTTTGTCCATAGGAGGTAAAGTTTCATTTCCACAATACCTCCATAATTATATTTAATTACAAATAAAAGCATTGATTTCTCCCTTTTGCCCACACAAACTTGAATACAAGCACATAAGGCCAAGTGCAGGGTACTGCACTTGGGTCAGGGCAGTCCCCAGGTGTTTATACAAACTGGGGGAAGATCTCCTTGAGAGCAGCCCTGTGGAGAAGGACTTGGGGCTCCTGGTAGATGAGAAGCTGGACATGAGCCAGCAGGGCATTTGCAGCACGGAAGGCCAACTGTGTTCTGGGCTGCATTAAAAAAGGGGTGGCCAGCAGGGAGAGGGAGGTGATTGTCCCCTGCATCCAGGCCTGGGGCTGCCAGCACAGGAAGGACGTGGAGCTCTTGGAGAGAAGGGCACTGAGATGATCAGAGGGCTGCAGCATCTCTCCTGTGAGGAAAGGTTGAGGGAACCGGGCTTGTTTAGCTTGGAAAAGAGAAGGCTCTGAGGAGACCTCATTGTGGCCTTCCAGTGCTTGAAGGGAGCATATGAACAGGAGGGGGAACGGCTGTTTGTGAGGGTGGATGGTGATGGGACAAGGGGAATGGTTTTAAAGTGAGATAGGGGAGGTTTAGATTGGATATGAGGAGGAAGTTTTTCAGCCAGAGGGTGGTGAGGCACTGGCACAGGTTGCCCAAGGAGGCTGTGGATGCCCCATCCCTGCAGGCATTCAAGGCCAGGCTGGATGTGGCTCTGGGCAGCCTGGGCTGCTGGTTGGTGACCTGCACACGGCAGGGGGTTGGAACTGGATGAGCGTTGTGCTCCTTTGCAACCCAGGCCATTCTATTAAATAAGCACATAAAGACATTCACTAAACCTTAAAGAGAACTGCAGATAGGTAGCCCTAGCACATGATGAGTTCTCATTATCTTCTGAAAAATATGATGCTAACTGCTGGGTGTGAACTGAGAGTCATGAACTAATGACTTGTCCACAGCAAAACTGTTTCTTTCACACCAAATGCAAAGCTGCCAGAAGTCTGAATATCACCATAAAGCTTAAAATAATTTTAGAAGATCTTAAAGTAAAGAGTGCTTTGGGCTATCTTTTAACATATTACTCTGTAACTCTGTAATCACAGTTACTTTATAAGGCCACATATGAAAGTGTCCATAGGATGGGTTGTGTTGGAAGGGATATGAAAGCTCATCCAGTTCCAGTACTGTGCTGTGGGCTGGGACACCCCCCATCAGCTCAGGCTGCCCAAGGCTCCATCCAGACTCAGAGATGGGGCGTCCACAGCTTCTCTGGGCAGCCTGTGCCTGTGCTTCACCACCCTCTGAGTCAACATTCTTCCTTGCATCTAATCTAAATCCACCCTCTTCTAGTTTAAAAACTCTTATTCTTTTTCCTGTCACAGCAGACCTTACTAAGGAGTCCCTCCCTTTCTTTTCTGTAGATCCCCCTTTCAATACTGGATTTAATCACTTTCCAGCCTGGATGTGTGTCATTGTTATTTTATTCAGGCAATATTAAGAAGATTATTGATTATTGCCAAAATTTAGATTTAAATTTTGGCCCACAGCTGAGTGTTTGTGTACTTTTAGGATCATGTATTTCTACTCTGTCAGTCTAACAAAATCTAATATCTACTCATTGCTTGATGTATAACAATTGAAAATCATTTGCTTTAATTGCATTTGGGATATTGGGATGCCTCTTTGGAAATCTTTTGCCCTTTTTAGGCTGATCTCTTGATATCCTTTATAAATTTATGTCTTGAAAAGTTCTGTCTACTCAGTGAGATCTTTCTTCCTTGTGTTGAACAGGATTTGGGCTGCTGCTTCCAATCTGCTCCTTGTGTTTGAGCAGCTTCACAGTTGACGTAGCAACGAATGCATCACCCTGGTCTTTGCTTCAGGGCTGAAGAGAACGTGCTTTGAAACATGCATGTCTGCTGTCCTCAGGAAGCTGTACAGCATCTCTCTGTCAGGTTTGTGTCTCACGAGAAAGCCCCACTAGGTACCATTTTGTTCTGACTTTCATGTCTTACATGGTGCTGATTTTCACTGGAAGTTTTCTTTACCCTTCTGTAGAGATTCTGAATTTACTTGTGATTCAGAAAGCAGGGACATTTAGTTTTTATGTTACTAAAAGTAAACAGATGTAGCCTCTTTTCAGTCTCTTCAGAGAGCAAGCAAGCCATGCACAGATCTAAGTCCGGTTAATGCTTACTCACTGGTAACTGGATAAGATGTTCAAAGAATTTAGAATTTGACCTTTGCTAAGAAAAATGTACTCTCCATGTTTGGACTGATGGAAATTGAAGGTTGTTAATCTGACAGTAGGCAAACTGAATACAAATGAAGAAGCAACTGTTTTCACATTGGTTCATGCTGTAGCTTGAACCTATCTATCTGTTACTTCTTCCCAGTGTGCTCTTATGCTCGAGAAAGCAAATAAATAATGAATGCATGACCTCAAATGGGCATTATTTCTGAATGCAAGTGTGAGCTTACAGGTCATGCACTGTGCTAGGAAGGCTGGTATGATTAGTTCCTGTTAAACAGTAGGGCTTGATTCATGATTATTCTGAATTTCTTTTACTCTGCCCGATGCAGTAAAAGAAATGCAGAGCAAACTGTAAGGCTCCCTTAATTGGACACCAAAGTTCAGGAGAAGAAATGCATGGATCAGCATTCAGATGTGAGTGTTGGTTGTAAAGCTGCCACTGGATTTGGATCATTCACAAGGATTGGAGTTAAGTCCTGTTTTTTGAAACTAGGCATGAACTGCTAGCAGTGATCATTGGCTGTTTGCTGGAAATTCTTGCTTTGTGATGCTATCTGTAAAAGCGGAAATTTTCCTTGTAATATTTGTGTGTGAGGAAAAGTTTTATTCTGTTGACAGGGTTATACTGGTGTGAAAGTTTTTCTGCTGCTGAGGATAGCTAATGTGTAGTATATTTTAAAAAGTATGTTTTTCCAGGGCCAGATGCACCTATCTTTACATTCACCACTTTGTCACCTTACTGAGGAAGTTCTAGTCATTATCATCATCTAGTTATTGCCAGAAAAATGACAGTGAAGCTGGATGACTTGCTGAAATTCTAAAGCATTTCAGTAGCCAAGTGAAAAGCACCTAACAAGTGTCAGAGTAGAGTTATATCCCTGGGAGCAGCTGTGCAAGGTTTTATTCTTGCTGCTGTATTGGTGTAATTCATATGAGAAGGTATTTATTTACAGCCTCTTGCTTTAGTCATAACCTTCTGCAAGAAAACATTTACTTCTAATCTGGCTGCTCCAAATTAGTTCTGCCACCCTTCCTCTGTTACATTTGTAGAACAGCAAGTCCTAGAGTGCAAGGAATGTCAGAACCTGACTCTTATATATAACTATTAGTGTTGCAAAACTTATCAAACATGAAGTTTGACGATAACACTTAATGATAAAACACTCAGTGCAGCTGGTTGTTCATATCAAACCCAACGGCAAGTATCTATGAGCTTAGATTTTTTCACTGCTCTTCTCTTACGAGGATTGGGTTCTGCACCAAATTCTATGGCTGTGGAATTCAGTTCTATAGCATTCTGCTCCGTCCCTCACTGTACAGTGGTGTTTCTCCTTTTAACAAGCTGTAGCTGTGGGAATCACCACTGTTCCTTGAAATCCTTATACATAGAAATGAGGCGGCTGTTCCATGAAAGCTTTACCAAAATCAAGCTTATTTACATCCTTTCTGTTTGTACATTAGAAAGTGATTTGGGTATGTGTATGTCTGTAACTGTGGGAACAGTTAGAGTGCCCAGCAGTTTTACAGCTTTGTGACAGACTGATGACTTAACACCCCAGTGGATTTCATGCGTTGTAATGTGTTTGGAGAGAAAGTGGCATACTTGTTTGGCTGCAAGTGGTGGGCCTCTTCATACGTACCAGCAAATAGTGCAAACAGTCACAGGCTAACTCTAGAGGCTCTTAATTTTCAAAAAATAGTGTAAAACTATTACATACTGTGTTAGGCAATACTACTGGGGGAAAAAAAAATATAACCAAAAAAAAAATTGGGTAAGATGATTGTTAAGGCAACTTGTACCACCAGCTGGGATCTATTGATGTCTTAATATTCTCTTTTCATTGCCAATTTCAGGTTTTGTTTTTAAGTTTTTGTCAGGGTGCATTGCCTGCTAGCTGTACAATAATGACCTGCTACAATTCTGTCTGCATGATTTTCTCTTGAGGTTATTCCTCAGTCTCTCCTGAAGACAATCACAGCATGTAAGTCGTTCTGGTTGTTTGCTGACCAAATTCTATTGCTGCCCACAATGTCTGATGTTATCATCTCTTGTCATCTTCTAAGAAGTCTTTGTCACCATTGTATTTCAAAGGTTTTGTTTTTTACGTGCCCGTAACATAAATTTGCCATGGTCTATTAATGTGCTACTGTGGAAGAATACATTATTTCACTGTTTATATAATTTATTGTTTGGAGAGTCTTCAGTTTTTCTGCACTCCAGTAGTTAAGTAAATTTTTGAGGGCTTTTAAGGACTAAACTGTTTAGGACTTCTCTTTATTTATTTTTTTGGAACTGAACTTCATGTCATTCTTAGCCAATTGCTTTGTACCTTCCGGTGTTGTCACACCTTGATTGTTGGCACCAATTTTTATTAAGTCAGCTGACTATGTTAATGCTCCATTAATGTGGGACAGTCAGCATTTCTCAACTTTTTTTTTAATGCATTGCATTCCATAGCAAAAATTGGCATATGATCAGTGCATCCAAGGTGTTTCAAGGTGTCACAAGAAGATTCCTTCTGCTTTGTGCTATTTTTCTATCAATGGGTCCCTAATAAATTCTGTGTGGGTGAGGATACTTTTCTCTCTGTCTGCTTATACCCAGCAGAAAGATATTTAATCTTGTTGGCAACTTCTGTTACATTTGCTGAGATACGTTGTGGTTATGAAGCCATCCAGCCTTCTCCAAGGTTGGTTATGACAGCAGGTATCCCATGTTTTTAGATAGCCAATAGAAACATGGTCAGTGGGGACTGAAATTCCAGAGAAACAATTTCATTTTGTCATGAGGTTAATTCTGCTCCTGAGATTTGCTTCATACAACCTTGAATTACAAAGAGCAGTTCTGATTTTGACTGATAGCATTGCATCAAAACTTCATATTCCCATTCTTGAACAAAAATATTCCCTTTATCTGCTTGTCCAGCTGATATCCAGTCAGCTATACATAATTGTAGATTTTCCATGGTGTATGGGAGCTACTGAGTCACGGCCTGAACCTCTGACTGATCACCGGAGGCGAGCCATGAGTCAGCCAGAGGAGCACAGGTGAAGGCAATTCACCTAGACCTATTCCTAGACCTATTGAAGAGCTGGCTACCAGTGGGGAAGGATCTGTTCTGGAGATCCCTCCTTCTGGTGTTTTGTGGTGAGCCCAGCATAAGGGTAAGCCTTCCATTTATTCTCTCTTGTTATCATAGTCCACTTCGCCTAACTCTCTTGTTTATTTTGTGATTGTAACATCTTGACATCCATTGATTATACACATGGTAACATAACTACTGATTGCTTTAAACAAAACTGCTTGTACTTTCCCAGTTTTTATTTTTAAAGAAACAGATGCTTTTTGGAATTAATATTTGACTCATGTTTTCATTTTTACCGTTCAGCATTGTAAGTAGTTTTGATGAGGCATTTTTCTTGTCTCTTTCTTGCTGCTTGGTTGCTTTTTTGCTGCTTGGACAGAGGCAGCATGCTGTTGGTGTGCCATTGTAGGGTCAGCTTGACTCAATATTTGCTCTCAAATTGTACTCCAGGATTTTTTGTCACCCACCCTTGGTTGAAGATGTTGAAGGCAGCCATTTTTCTGAAACCTCAGAAGTACAACGCTTTCCCTATTCCCAGCACTTACAACCTCAGTTACAAGCATGTGATAAACTGTCTCAGTACCAACACTGTGCATGGATAGTGGAGGTCTTGCCTACATTGCACACCAAGAACATTATCCAGAGTGCTTGCTGTGTTCTTTGTCCAGCCTGAGGATCTGTTGGAATGTCTGGAAGCTTCTGCCATGTCTGGATCAGTTTGAAAGAGACTAATCCAGAAGACAGGAACAGCTCCTAGAGCCCATGCTTGTGCTTAAAGGTATGTGCATAGCACAGAGCTTCCTAGACTGATTTTAGTTACAGAATAGTTCATAAATGGGTAATGACACTAGCTGTGATGTGTTCTAATGAAAGGCTTCTCAGGATTACAGAGGGGGAGTTGAAAAGCTGGTATCTCAGATATTTGAAACAAATATTCTCCTTTCTTTGCTTTGGTTTGTTTTCCTGGCTTTATATCCTCCAGCTATACAAGATGAACATTTGGGCCATTTGTCATCTTGAATTCATGTCATTTTAAGTATATAGACATACCACTGGAATATCTCCTTATTTATTCACTTAAATGCATTGTGCCCAGAATGCTGTTTTCCTTTTGTCTAATTGCCTTTTCCTTTAATTTCTATGATAATGGTGTTTATATTGCTTTCTTCTATTTCGTATTTTATGCGTATTTATGTTCATGCAGCCTCTTCATGCTACTGTATTAGAATAAGTGGGAGAAGTTTTTGGTCCTTTCACTATTCTCATTCTAAATGATAAGCATGCATTTGCTTATTCTGTAATGTTTTCCAGGAAAACAAATCTTGAAAAACAAATCTTGGAAAAGTCCTTAGAATATCATATAGTTGTTGGCTTTGTACAAATGTCCTACTGAAAACCTAATTCATGTGCAGGTGCAAAATCTAAGGGCAGTAGTCAATCAGCTGAGCTTACTGTCCATTGGCAGATGCACATGCACGTGCTGGACTTTCTAGAATATAAGGTGGTTTGAATGAGTGGTTTTTCCGTTTTATGGCCAGCATTAATAGTCTTTGCAAACCTAATTCCCTTTTCTTTGTCCAGTTCTCCCTTTCCCCCTTTCTCCCTTTCTCTCTTTCTTCCTCTCTTCCTCTCTTTCTCTTTTTTAAGGCAGTTTAAGAGTAAAGTTTAAGTTAAGAATACTCTGTTAAGAGTAAAGTTCTAGTTCAGCTAAACAACATGCAGTGGTTAGTGATGATGCCAGTATCTTATCTTGTATTATTTACCCTTGTATTAAATCACAAATCAGAATGTGTTTTTTTAGATAACCAAGTGCCACACAAGAAAAATCAAGATACAGTGGTTATACCTAATGGTTCATGTATTGCATGCTTTTGAGTTCTGTCTTGGCAAATTTGAAGGCATTTGCAGCAGAAAGGAAACGCTGAAAACAAAAGGCTGTCAACAATTAAATTTTACCTCTATAACACAGATTGCCCTTGAATTGCACTTTCAAACCTAGGAGCTTAGAAATACTGCCTTATCCAGTAGTTTGGATCTAGCTACTGAGACCAAATAGAATACTTTATCCAAGTTCTTACAGTTGTCTTCAGTAATTTTGTTTTTATTGTTGTTTTGTAATTAATCTGGCATCCAGGAGCTACGTTTATGGGCTGCAGTTTCTGTGCCAATTGCTGTATTTAAAAACAAACAAACAAACCCACCAAGGGTTTTGTTCTGTTGTTACAGTCAAATAGATATTAGGAAACCTATCCAGAACATAGGTCAGCAAATATATTTTGAGGCCCAGTCTGAGCTAATTTGTCCATCAAAGGACTAAACTGTCATTTACATCCTGCACATTTTTTAATTGAAATTGTTATGATATCACTGTGCACTCATCTGGCTGGCACTGAGTTGCAGAAATGTTTTTAGTTTGGACTAAAGACCTGAACCTTCTCAAAACTTCCCAAAAGTCAAAGGGATGCACATTGCAGTGTGTGTGGCCTTATCGTATCTCAGATCCGTGCCTTCTTAAGTGATGGTATGCAATGGAACCCCAGTGTTTGTCCCAGGAGAATTTCTTACGACCAAGATTTTTGTGTTTCCGAATGTATTATTTTTTTGTTTGTTTTAGTAGCCACAAACTCTTTGGAGTGTTATAATTCAGTGGAGTACACTGAAGCCTTGGCTTTGTGCAGTGCTTGTTCCCATGAGGTAACTTGGACTTTACACAGTGTTTCATTCTTTTGGTGGCTCTGCACTGAAGGAGGGGGAAACTAATTTTGTGAAGTGAAATATGGTTGCCCTGTACTGCTCTTGGATCAGAGTCTGCTAGAGTTAGGTCAGACTTGCATTTCACAGTTTGTTTTCAGTGCGGTTTGGGATCTTCACACTGAGTTTTTAGTAATAGTGGAAAGCATCAGAAAATGGAAACTTATTTTTTTAAAAGGATACCACCAGGTTAGTACAACCAAGTATTTTCATATCTGCCTTTAATCTCCAGTTAGCACCACACCTAACAAACAGATGTGTTCTGGTCATTTGCATAGAAAAAATGAATATGCTTTCCAATCCCTTTCAGCCTGTTTTTACATACTGTCTCCCCAAGCAGTGAGTGATGTCTGAACTATTTATTTATTTTTTTTTAAGTACAAGCACAAGCAGACTGGTGCCTGTGCAATGCAACCCTGTGGGAGATCTCTGAGCTTTGCAAAATGTTTAGCTCTGAGAAGTTAAAGCAGATATTAGAGCAGAAAGAATATTTGCCAGTACTTAAAAGGACAGAAAGTAGTGGAGCAAAAGAACAAATTGATTGGGACAGAACAAATGGAGGAGCACTGAGAACGTAAGTTTGATATGAACGGAGAATGCAAGATAAGACTTGAGGATTGAGGAAGAAAGAGTAGAAACACAAAGATGTAAACAGCTGGAAAAAGGCAGAAGCAAAAGAAATGTCAGTAATGGAAGAGATCAGAGCTCTGTAGATAGTGCAGTCTTTCTCCCCTCCTGTTAATTTCACTTAGTTAAGTTGTACTGTGTGAGAAAACCGGCTTTGGTCCTTCTTGTGGTGAAGGTACATTGGTTTCTCAAAATTGAGAAGCAGCAGCAAAGTGTTACGTTTTAAATTCAGGAAGTAAACATGAGAAAATTCATCTCACTTCAGTTTACAAAGTGGCATCCATTTGTTGAGTAGGTGCGACAGAACACTTCTGTGGTCTCTAACTGCACTTTTTTGTGTGTGTTTTTGCATGTTGTCATGAAGGAGAGCCTGATATATAAGCATGTAAGAATTAAGATAGTAGATAAGACTGGCGATGGTATCAAACTTGTAAGTACTCATTCTGTTTTCAACTGTTTCATGAAACAACTGTTTCATGAACACAAAGGAAGGTGAGCAGAAAACGGTTTTGAGATAACCAGCTCAGAGATACTAGGTTAAGGACAAGCTTACCAATTCTAATTTGACTTGCACACTGAAGCAAAACAATTTAAATTGGCATTTATTAATAATGACTGCTTAGAATTTGAAAAGAAAGTAATCACACTATTGTTACATAAGGGAAAACAAGGTGGAGCTGTGGCCTTGATTGAGCTTTCTCCATTTCTTTTTATGCAATCTGCAAATAAAATTTTGTAATATATTAAAATATAACAGAGTCATAAGCTAAAATTAAGCTTTAAGAGTCTTGGTCCACTTATTTTTTCCTAAAATCCACCATTTTCCTATGAACAAACAGCGTTCAGAAGATTTGAAAAGGTATGTGCTACCAAAGCAGCAGATTTTTTTCTGACAGTTCTACGACTTCTTTGTGTGAACAGCCTACAGCTCAAACAGTTTCAAAATGCTGCGCAGGTGAAGCTTGTAGATAAATCTTCCTACTAAGTTCTGTCTGCTCTGAAGTAGAATGCAGTGACTCTTCTTGGCAGTGAAAGGACATTGGCAGTAATTAGTATGCAAGAGTAATTCCTTTAAGTACAGGAATCTTTGATAACTGAAGCATATTTACACCAGGTTATGGTTTGGCTTGCCAAATTCTTTATCTCCTTTTAGTCTTCAAAAATGTCACCAAAGCTCTTGAAAGAAGAACTCAAATGCTCTTGAGATGTGTTAAATAAGACCCATTCAGCTTAAGTTGTCACCTAAGTGAAACCTCTTTCTTCCAGTGACAGGGACTTGATTCTCTTGGAGGTTCTGAGTTCTATCTGAGCGGTTAATTGGATGATTCATGATACGTGTGCCGAAACAGCACTGACAAGTTTTTCTACTCATGGTAGTTAAAATATGGGATATTATTATCTCGTGTCTCCTGTAGCAACAGGAGTAATATTTACTCAGCAGTGCATAATCCATGGAATAATGTGTTTCTTTTGCTATTGGTGGCAGAAAGAAAAACGGTTTGAGAAGGGCAAATTCTCTGTGCGACAAACATCTTGGATATTTTCAAAGGCAATAAGTAATAGTAGCCCATTTACTTTTTATCTTTATCAGTACTTTCAGTCACAGTGTTACACAAGCGAAAGTCCCCTTTTCTATTCTTTTAAATATAGCAGCATTTTGAGAAGTAATGTTTGCACTAATAAAATAACATGGAGAAAACAGAAAACCTAGCCAAGTCTACATCTACAGGATTATTTTTCTTCTGATTGCCATTATGCAGTTTTGAAAGTTAAGACTCAAGATATATTATGAATTTTACTGCTCGTTAAACATGAGGGATTCAAACTCAACCTTCTGTTGGACGTTTCCCTCTGGCACAGACAGTGCAAGTATGCTTGTCAGAAGTAAAAACATAGGTGGTTAAAATGGTAAGACCTCGTAAGTAGAAATGTGCCATTCGTCCTTTTTTTCATGGGAATCACTTTTTAACAATGCGTTGGTGTTAGCTTAAATCCCAGCCCACAATTCAGTTGTCCAATTGTCAGTGCTTTTCATTCCTTCTTTACAATGCAAGTAAGGGTAGATTTAGGTGTAGAGACATTTATGACTCTCTGTGCTGACAAACAAGTAAATTCCAAACTTTTAACAGATAGGTTATCTTTATTCGTTTAAGCATCTTGTGATTTATCAATTTTTATGTTGATTTCAGTTCTTTTATTAATATTTCTTAAGGACTGGCTACAAGACTGCAGCCCAGGGCAGAATTCCAGTAGTCAGGTGTAAGCTGAAGCATTTTTCAAACTGAGTTGTTCTAGATTTGTAGCAACATAAATATGATTAAACTACAGCCATCAGCATTTAGATTTCATCCTTTGCTAAAGAATATCTTTTTTGCAGTCTCTGTTAAGCTTCCTTTACCT